CGGTCGGTTTCACTGGATACTATTAGGAATCTTTTTCAGAACTAAGTGACTAATAGCTATCCGTTGTTGTCGTCAGACGTTCAAATAGGGGGCCTCCACACGATGACCACACCCGTTATATCGGGCGTATTCGTGTTAAACACCTCCTTGTGTAAATCGAAGTGAACGCCTGGATTACCCAATGTTCAGTCGCTGTCGCTTGGCTCATCACTAGAGTGTTCGGCGCACAAAGGGCAATAACCTCTCTTTATTCTCACAGCCTCGTCAACTTTTTTTTTACATTCTCTCTTTGCTTTCACATCTTCGCAGGCGATCGTCCACTTTCTGGTGTGTCTGAAGATCTTTCCATGCCGTTCATAGCAACCGGGTGTCTCGCATATATAATGACTGGTCGAGAAGGTGCACATCTTGGGTAGTGTTGTTGGCGATGCCTTGCCGATGGGAATGATGTGGGTCAAGGAATATGATTGTTTTGGTAGATGCTAACAGCTTTGGTTGTTTGTCTTGCGAATATAACGTTTGTCTGACTGGGAAAGATGCTTCTTTCCGAGATCTCAATCCGGCCTCGAAACGACGAGTGCTATCAAATGGTTCTGTCTTCCTTGCTGTAAACTAGGGTTTCTTGTATCGAAAATGACCTTCTTGAGTTCGATTTGATAGCGAAAGTTGTCGTTCCTCCTTCGCTTCCCGTCGTTCTTCCTACCTTATATAAGTTTCATAAACGAAAGAGGCGCACGGCATATGTTCGATGTTCCTGTCGCAGCCTTCGCAGTGATGTCCTGGCTAAGTCATGAGGCCCAAGAAACCAAACAAAGCAGGAACATCGAGACTTGAACAAGAAAAACGTGTGATACAGTTCGCAGGAGTTCCACTTGGTCGATAAGGGCAGCTGACAAGATGCGTTGAACAACACCTTCGTGTCCGTCTTTGATCGAGTATGAACCAATGGGCATATAATGCTTTGACGATGCCGAATGACGTCAAGTGAAATACCCTTTAGTCCAGGCAGGTCTTGCTGTTGCATCACTCTCAGTCCCTATGAAACTTGATGATTGAACAAGGTTTTTGTGAAGATGAGGCTTTTTGATTGTTGTTACACAGAGATACGGGACTGGTAGCAGATGGCTGTTTGCTGAATTGGTGGCGGTAGTATCACATTGCCGAATGTGGATCCAGTGCTCAAAGGAGCTTGAAATGTGACCGAGGAATTAGGGGCACTTCGTGTCACCAACATCTGAGTACTGAAGGAACTACGGAGGATCGCATTGAAGGGAGTTTCGGGAGGGCTCATTAGGCCAAGTTCGGAACCAAACCACATTGAAGCATCGCAGGTCTGCTCTCTGTGAGCTCATTTCATTCGTGTAAGGCAGAACAGGTCTTTTTGCGGGGAGTGTAAAAAATTAACAAAACTTCTATCCTGATCCTCTTTTGCGTGTCACGCCTCATGAATCCATGTTCCGGGATCGTCGAGCCAGACAGACAGCTCGTCTACTCGTGGCCTGGATTTCCCCAAGAACATCAAATAAGTACCTTGACCAATGGATCATCATACTTAATGTATGTATATCCTCCAAGGAAATAAGTACTTCAAGGTCGGAGCAATGTTGTTCAGCCATAGAAGAACCATACAAGTGGCGTTTTGGTTTTCAAGGGGCCTTGTCTCGAAGGTGGTTCACGGTGCTTGCATTTGCGTTTTCCTAGGACGTAGCGGAGATTGTTCTGCTGAAGATAACACATCTGCGAGTCTTCAGCGACCGGAAAGGATAAGCTGAGAGGCAAATAGTGTGGTCGCCAGCCCAAATAGAGTGGCCATACTGTGAAATAGGTACGCAACGGCAGTGGCAGTCCTTCCCACAGACTACAAGAAACCGTCAGTAGCTTCTTCGCCAAGTCAATCAACCAATTGAACCTAGATCTGAATTCCACGGTCTGAATTTCGTCGCCTTCAAAAGCTCGAGCTGCTTGCTCTCGGGAGTGAGATCTGACCTTAGACATTTATGGAAACTGGTGATGCTATTTGAGATAGATAGTGCTTTCATGTAAAGTTCACCGCCCCCTTAGCGCTAGCTTTCCTCATGTGCTTGTCAATCATGAATGCCCATGGCTCAGCTGCCCCTCTCGGGGCCCATTGAGGGGAGGTTTGGAGGCCACCGACTGGCTCTGATCAGTGCACGTACTAGAATGAGTTCTATTGGTAAGTCTCGATTAAATGACCTATGACGCATGAATTTCGCTTTGCCACTCAAGGCCCTCTTGTTCTGCTACTGGCGATGTGGTGGCATGTGTGATGGGAGCCGAGCCAGCATCTTTCCAACGGAGGTGTTTCGCCCAGAAGCGAAAGACTCGGGTATCACGGATACAGGACGATTAACCACTATGCCCAATAGCAGAAGGTGTCAACACAGCGGCAGCGTAGGTGAAGAGATTGGTGCTTCTTGTGGCTGTATCCGAGACCAATCCTAAAGACAGCTTGAAAGGTCAGGTGGAAGAATGGGACTTTACGTTTCGGCGACGCGTGCATCCAGCGCAACACAGGGTTACAGCATGAAGAACGAAGTTGAACTTGTCAAACGTACGTCAAAAGACTGCTCCGAGTTACTGTACTGAGCTCATGAGTGGGCAGTGTCTCCCGTCGGTTGTTTCTTCAGTGGCTTGCAACATCGCGTGCAAGATTCTAGAGAAGGAGTCTCTGCCCTCACAGTGCTTCAGAACTGCCAGATTCTGGATAGTCCGGAGAGGTGTTGCCCATCGAGACCTTCCTGGCAGGGCGATGCGTAGTTTATCGGCCGGGAACGGGATTGAAAAACGGTCCATTCCACCGGAGCCGGCATTTCCGTCGACCGAGTGTGCCGCGGCGCAGTAAGCTTTACCTATATCTGACGTGTAAATCTACCAATTTCCATCAGACCACTGCGACCTTCTATCTCATTGTGAGCCTGTGACGCCTCGGACGCCCACCAGGCGTTGGAACATGCGGGGTATAGCTGATGTACCGGAGAGAGACTTGCGGATTCCGGATCGTGCGTTGAGGGGACAACGGCCAAGAACTCTCCGTGTCGCCGGGATAGACGAAAAGCCAGCGAGCGTTTAGTAAACAGGATGCAGCACTGAAAGCAACGAGAAAATGGTTCAGCCGGCGAACGTCTTGGCTCCTCGGCTTCCTTGCGGTGGCTCAGCCCATTCGGATGCGTAGGATATCTGGAGGAGTGCACCTACTCGGGCAGAGTTGTGGACTGAGCAGGGAAGACTTTTGACATTCTAGACTTTGAGCTGCAGTCTTGCAGCAAGCATACTTTTGCAATGCGGCTATGCAAAGTAATGTCTAGTAGACTTCATTCTCTAGCAACTCGTTGCAGCTGGCGCAGCTCCCGCTCCTTGTTGACGCCTCGTGATTCTCGTACCCACCCATCTTGGTCAAGTGGACAGGCACTACCTACGGAATGCGCTCCGGCCGACAGCCCCGTGGGTACGGGGACGGGAGCTTTGGAAAGCCCCTCACCGGTCGCAGCTTCGCGGACCGGGGAGTTGTAAGGTTTTACTTGCTTTCTTTCCGAGGGCCATCTCTACAAGTGACGAAGCGATTGTGCGGGCGTCAGCTGCGTTGACAAATTCTCAGCCAAAGTGGCTCGGCGAGGCGCAAACAGCCCAAAGGACTGCAGAGGCGCAACGGGCTGGACACTTGGCGTTGATGATCATGAGTGGCTTTGCGGGGTCAGCAGTGGACGAGGCCAAGGAGCCAAGTTTTGGTGTTGTGGCTGTGGGCATGTAAAGACGAGAGAGAGAAAGGCTCAGAGGAGTGGATGAGATGAAAGTTGAGATGCGATGAAATACGGACAAATGAGATGACAACAGTTGCGTCTGGATGACGCACTGACCGAACGAGTGATGAGCTGTTTCTTGCTGTTCGAGAATTGGCAGACATGGCAGACGAGCTCCATCTCATCGACAGGGTCGTCTCAAGAGTCTAGACCTCTTGGACGTCAGACCAAGCTTTGACCAAAGGAATTCAATTTCGTCAGATTGTGGTCTTTGACTTTTGCTAGCAGTGCCGTCCGGCCATCTTTTAGACGGCGTCCGATGTGGCCGTCTCTGATGTGTCCACGGCGCTATGCAGAGCGCCACAGTGATCCCGATCCCTCCTTGACCTATTTCAAGAGAGGTGTGAGAGGATAGGGAGTCCTGATATCGTACGAAACAAGGTAATGAAAGGTAAAGTTAGCCAACGACCGGTGCTGCCGGTTTCCGTGGTAGCCTCTCTCTTTCACTTCTCAGCCAGAAGACTCTTGGTTTCTTACGTACACCCACGTACGAATACACCCTCGAAAAAGACTTTGGCCAAAGTCGCCCACTTCACCGAAAGTCGGGCGCCGATCAGAGAGACCGGTGCGGAATCGGTCCCTGCACGGCAACCCTCTCTAGTTGCCTCATCCATTCGCGGGAATAGACGGGAACTTTGAGATGAGGCCCGCCGGCGGTAAATGAGGGAACGCCGGCGGCAGCAGCCCTGTGGGCTCGAGGGTTTCAAGCCTCAAGAAGGTTGGTTCATGGTTGTAGGTAGGTAAGGTAGGGTTGAAGGAGACACCATCAAGGACTCATCTGACATGTCTCGCACACCCAAACCTCCCGCGTCCTTCCCGCACCGTCACCGTCATTTGATCCAAGGCGCGCAAGTACCGAAGAGGGTTGGTAACTTGGTGGGAGGGCGCATGTCTCAGTGTCCAAGACACAGACTAGCAAAGTGAACCCCTTCACCGCAGGTCATGAAGCCATTGAGAGTGTTGCCCTGGAGCGAATCTGGGCCCCAGACGGGCGATTATGGCCTTATCGCTCCATATCAGCGTGGCATCGCATCATCCGGTCACACTGACTGGTCGCCAGGGAGAAACACGCCCATCATCATGGCCCGTTGATAACCCACAACAAAACATTCAAAAGATTTCAACGCTACCTTAAGCCTCATGCGTCCCCGGGAAGAGAGAACACTTGACCGTAGCCACTATCGACGTCGTATCTTTGCCCTCTCTTTTCTGAGTTTCTTCGTTTGCCCGGCAGATGCCCATCCCGCGGGCGTCGACGGATGCCACGGCCTTTCATCGCCTGACCGCGCAGCCACGGTCGTCCACGTCGGCCGGCTGTTTTCATCCACTCAGAAACGAGAAGCTGACACCGCCATAACATCATGACAAGACCAGGGGCGCGGGAAAGTTTCTTGCAGCGCCATCCAGCAGCATCCACAATTCGAGATGCAAGGGGGAGAGGGGGGTCCTCTCTTCCATTCGCATGACACTTCCGCAAGGTAATAAAGGCATTGGTCGTGTTGTATTCGTAGTGTAAGTCGGGCGTGCAGGTTTTATTCGTACAACACACACGCACACACTTTACGTATGTAGTACACAACGAGGTACACAAACAAAGTACCTCATTGAGAGAGAGAGACACGAAAACTGAAAATTTGTTGACACATCGGAGAATTTCCATACCATTTCCCCCCCCCCCTTCTCGTTTAATTGTTTCTAGGGACCAGTTCGACGTCACAAACGAAAACTCCTGCGTCGTAGCTCCAGTTCTTTTCCTCGCGTAGGACCCCTTTTGGTTACGTGGTTCGGCCCTTTTTCTGCACATTCTTCCCGTCGAATTCCCTTGAATCAGTGATTCGTGTGAATCGATTCGTAGCTGGGATACTGGGAAAAAGGCCTCGTCCCCAAAAAGGCCCCAAAGTAATAGCTCCAAGAAGCAAGGACTTCAACTTTCAAGAGAAGAGAAGAAAAAATTGCTTGGTTGGACCCATTTAATGCCCAGTTCCGGACACTGCCCGGGCCAGACGGAGCTCACAGCGCAACCCTCCCGGCCCCATCGTCATTACTCATTCTAGGCCGAATTACCTCAAAAGTACTACTCTTCTACCCGAGTATTATACATACTTCGTACTAGTAACTACTCCTTAGTCTCAGAGATGTATGCGGCCATGGCTGGCTTTGTACCCTCAGCGCCCTGAGAGGTGTGCCACGAGTGTGCCCAGAGCCACACACACACACACACACACACACACACCCCCCATCCCAACTTCCCAACTTCCTTTGGCCTGACGGGCTGGTACAAATGGCCATGGGCGTTGGCATGAGTAAGTAAGGATCGGCCTTGTTCCGTTGGGCGCTGCCGCGGGTCTGATCGACCATCGCTCTTCAGATTTTTAGGGCGCCTCGTCTCGAACGATCTGAGCTTTAGATTGGTGATCACTGCATAGGGTTCCGGCACCCGCCGCTTATATAGTGGGCTTGGAATCCCGTTCGAACTGCTCTCTCGTCATATTCGTCAGATCCCATTTCCTGGCACGGCACTTGGCTCTTCGTCTGAACGGTTCCCCTATATTTACATCGGGCACCCATCGACAACTCACGTCAACAATAAGCACAGACACTTACAACGCCTCACCTCACCTCCTCACCAAAGAGTACAAATACCATCACGACGGCACCAGGTACACAGACGTGCTACCACACATACCACCTCTCCATCTCCACACACAGTCAACTCTCCTACACGCAAGCATCACATGTACACATCACTCTTCAACATGTTCGGCCGTCAGTCACAAACTCAGTTCCCCAAGCGAAGCAGCTCAGGCTATTCGTGGCCCGAGAGCGACAGCGAAGACGACATCGTCATCAGGCCCTGCGCCACGAACGAAAAGGCCGATGCCACCGTCACCATGACCGAGTGCGTTCCGGGTCCGACGGCGGTGGAACAGACTTCTCAGGCCAGACCCTCCCTCAGCGGCCGCCGCGCCTCCGCTGAGGACATCAACCTGCAAGAGCTTTGGGAGTGCATGCTTGAGCTCCAGCAACAATATCACTGCTACAACTCGACGCGCATGGAAATCGCTGCCGACAGGGAGGATGCTATGGATATGATGCGTATGTTGACACCCAGTTTTTATCCCCTAATACCATTCTTCCACTAACACCATACTCAGCCACCAAGTACTGCATGGACATGCTCAACGACTCCATCGAGTCCCTCCCCGAAGAGGGCTGGAAGAAGCTCAGCAAGTTCCTCATCACCGACCTCGAGCACGCCCAAAAGTCGCAAAAGTGGAAGTTCTGGAAGCACCTCTAGACTTATGCATACGGACCGCCCAACTATTGCATTCATCCTTTCTTTCAGCGAAGCGAAGGGCTCTCGGCTCTGATTAGAATGATACCCCCTTTTTTCTTCTTCTTTTTTTTTTCATCATAACAAAAGTTTCGGTTTACGGTCAGGCGTCTCATCGGATATCCCCCAGGTTCAACTATTCACATCTGGGTTTGGTGTCCTGAAGGCACGGATTTCTCATTAGATTATTTAATCCATCACGCAAATCATACTTGATACACATTGATACATTGACACCTTTACTGTTCCGTCCTCTTGCCTCATCAAATGCGAATACTACCCCCTTCGCTCACACGATTTCGTCATATCGTACGAGACGGTATCTCATGGAATGCTCGGTGCGGGGTGTTGGAGATCTCGGCAGAAGCCCACGGCCGCCGGCTCCGATTCCGGATCGTGAATGCCGATCGTTCGTTGGCGTGCTCACCAGTGTGACACGACATGCATGTGCCATTACATCGCGGGGAAATCGTCAGGTAGACCGGTGAGTCAGAGCGTTTTGACATGTCGACTCAAATGTGACGCTAGCTACGGGCTTACACGTACTCGTCAAGTATACTGGAGGTATTTCATCACGATATTGGAAGTGCAGCGATATGTAGACTTACTGTTTCAATGGGGGGAGGGAGGACCGTGGTATCCGCAGCATGTCTCGAATCCTCGAGTCTAATTGCGGGTTTTAGTCTTCAATAGCGCAGAGCATCAGACATGAAGATCGTCGTAGGAAAACATCTTATTGGGCTAAACTCTCATTACAAGGTCATATAAACAATGCGGAAACCGAAAAAATAGGAAAAAATAAAATAAAAAAATACATAGCAAATCTACATAGCCGCGGCAACTTCGACAGGTCCCAGCGGAAGCCGGGCGGCGGCAATGTTGCACTGCCGGAACAACCGCACCTCATCTTCCGCAAAGGCGCCCACCACGGAGTGAATCACGCCGCGGTTGTGGAAAATGACAAAGTCGCCCTGCTCCCAGTCGTGAGCGTACACGTTCTTGGGCGAGATGCCCGGCCGCTGCAGCCGGTGCACCGTCTCCCGCACCTCGGCGAGGTCCTCCACGACGGTGCCGTCCGCCAGGTGCAGCTTCCGCACCGCCGAGGGGTGGACCTGCAACGCCAGCCGGTCCGTGACGGGGTTCCGCCAGCACATGGGCAGGATCTGGATCTTTTCCTCCTCGATGGGGGGCAGGTCGTCGAGCGGGACCTCCTTGCCCTCCGAGACCATGCCCAGGCCGGTGGAGCGGGACTTGGCGCTGCTCATCCACACGTAGGGGTGCGGTGCGTACTCCACCTTTGTCGTGCGGACAAACTCTTGGTCCTCGGGCGAGAGATTGTCGTACATTGCGTAGCCGGACACGAAGGCCGTGGTGCCGAGGGGGACCGTCATCTCTTCGTCGGTGCCGTCGTCGTAGCGGAGGGTTTGCTTGCGGCCGCCGGGCACGCGGACTGCCAGGAGAGTTGTGGCGACGGGCGGTGCGAGGCCGTAGAGCGCGGCATCAATGTGCCACCGGTAGAAACGTGTAAAGTCCAGGTCATCCTCGTCAGGGATGGTCGTGGCGTGGAATGTGCGGTGGTGAGGGTGTCTGAGCTGGATGTTCTTCAGACCCTCATACTCCTCGACGAAGCCGTTGCCAATGACTTGCACTTGAGGCTGGTGCGGGATGGTCTTCAGGTCGGGATGCAGAATGGAGCGCTTGGCGTCCAGAGTCTTGCCGTGTCCATAGTTCTCACCAGAGTCGGGGTCGAACTTTTGTGTAATCTCAAACTGGGCCTTGGGGGAGGCGTGTCCCTGATTCTTGATCACGAGAACTTGGTGCTTGAAGAGAGCTTCACGGATGACATCAAAGTCGGCATCTGTAAATCGTCAGCCCCTGGTCTGAAGTTGTGAGTTTTGTTTCTGAAGCTTACCAAAGGAGGTTACCGATTTCACGGGTGTTCTCCCACTACTTGTACAACATCATTGCTTTCAATGCAACACGCATGCGTCATATCTTACCAGTGAGATTCTCAATATCGGCGTTGCTAATAGTGGCGCCAAAGTCGACAGCCGAGTCCGCAGCAGGGACAATCGGCTGGACGGTTATGCGAGAAGGAGTCTGTGAGATGGCCATTTTGGGGACTGGAGTTGAGGCTGATGTTTGGTTTCTGAGAGTGTCTTGACTTCGTGTCGAATGGCAGCTGTCTTCCAATTTCTCAAACGAATTCATAAAGTAGTCCGGGGACTCTGAAGAGGCTTTTATGTCTTGTGAAAGACATAGTGGTGGAGTCGTCAGCTCGGATCCCGCCGATGACCTGCGGGTGAGTTTGTTATCTCACCCGCACCGGCCCGCCCGCACTTCGAACTCAAGAGTCTAGAGATCTGAGATACTTAGATAGTGGGGTTTCTAGACGATAAGGCTGTAGCGTGGAACACCCGAATTGCACATTTCCGGTCTGTATCTTGCTGGTATCATTGGGTGATGGCTATCCGTACTTTGCTACTTGCCAAAGACTCTGGTCTGGCTTCGGACATTGGGCATCCTGTCAAGCAGTTCCGTCAGCTTGTTGCTGATAGACAGCCATCTGATATCTGGCTGTGCCCATGTACCCAAGTTCCCCATGTAATACGGTACTGCCCATGTGTCTCCAACCAACATCGGCTCAAAGCCCCAACGCCGAGCCGCGAGTTCACCCCGCCACCCCTCCAACCCACACCTCCCGCCCGCGGCTCGGCCTAGAGGCGACTGATCCCGCGAACGCTTGAGAATTCTCTTTATTACAAGCGATCCCGCAAGTTCTCGCGTGGCAAACTCCTCGCTGTTAGTTGAACCACGTCAGTCTCCGCCCCGACCCCGACCGAAACGGACCGCGGCATCGGAGGAAAGCGGCGGGAGAGTCCTGTCAATTCTCCGGCGCGTTGTCTGTTCCAGAGAGACTGACTGTAGACCGGGAGCCTCTCCACGTCCGGTAGGTACTGACTGTAGCCGTCCTAGCTTGTTCGCGAAGGGAAACAAGCGAGGACGTGCCTGCAATGCTGTAGTTGCAACTGAATGATGGATTGCATGATCAAGGCATACCGTAGGCGGCTCCTCAGTGCTTCTTGACCTTGTCCATCCATTCCTTGGAGGCCTTTGTACCGTCGTGGGCCTTTCGGAAGAGTCCTCGCTCCCACTCGTCCAGACCGCGGAGGAAGTCCTCACCGGAGCCTCCAACACCATCATCACCTCCTTTTCGAGCGTGCAAAGCGATCTCAGACGCGCGCGCTATAAAGGTCTTGCGCATGGTATCGCTAAGGTCGCGCTCTTCAAAGAGATCCAGAATGCGAGTGCCGAGTCCGTAAAAGTGGGCGCTCTGGTCTCTGACCGGCACTGAGCGCGCATCGGCCTTGAGTGCTTGCACGACTTGGTCCGATAGCGAGGGAGGAAGGTTCAAGGTGACCGGCGCCTTGGAGTCGTCGTCGATGCCCGCGTTGGCAAGGGCGAGCATCTCGGCGAGCCAGAGTGGGAGGGAGACATTGGTTCCTGCCTTCAGAACATGCGAGGGGTTATTGTCGAGGTATCCGAGGTCGGCGACATCGAGTTCAAATTTGCAGGGGACTTTCTAAGCAGTCGTTAGCTTCTGTTCACCATTGCACGACTGTGAAGGAAGCGGTGTACATGGAGGGGTTTGATCTGGGGAGTCGCTACATACCTCGGCGTCTGTCAGAATGGAATCTATGTCATAGTACGACATCTTGACTTCTTTCAAAGCAGAGTGCTGCTTCGTTGGCCTGGTTGTTTGTAACTGAGAAGCAACTTCAGGCTCGGAGGGTTTGCTTGTGAAGCTTGACGCGTCTGATGGTGCAGTAGACGCGATTCTTGGTGCTCGGGCAGCCACACACCACCCCGCCATGTCTGTCACCGTCAAGCCACACCTGTCAGCATATGGCTGTGCTTTTCTTAAGTAAGGCAGCAGCACCCAATAAGACGCGATGGATTACCTAAGAAACCTAAGTTCAAAGAGCTCCAGAGAAACTGGAGGTGATAGCTCTCCACTTTTAGTGGATGACGACATTTCTCCACGTCTTTCATTCGCTGAAAGCTTGATTAGGTGATTCCCTTAGGTACCTAATGGCTAATAAAGCAGTGGGCGGGAGCCGCTGGAGGAACACGGGGAGAAGCGTAAAAGCGCTGAAGAGCGAGCCCGGCCAGCAACAGCTCGGTAGCAGTAACCCGGGGACAGCTTTTCTGGAGATCCGAGCTCCCTCACGTAATAGCCGACCGAACCTCCCGCAATTGACATCATTCTGAGATTTGCACCTGCATTTGTCAACCCGTCAATCCAACGTCAAAAGGTACTTTTACGCCCTTCCAGCCCCGCTCCCTTGCTCTTCAGCATCTCACGATCTTCACCAAAAGCCATTGGCGCTAATCAAAAGACATAGAATACGCAAAATGTCGTCCACTCTCCTCCGTACCGCGCCCGTCCTCCGCACAGCTCTGCGAGCTAGCGCCACTAAGCCTGCTGCTGCTTTGGCCAGCACCAGCTTCGTCCGCGGCAAGGCCACTTTGCCCGACATCTCATGTGAGTAGCGCCGTTGGTCTGACCCTCTTTCGTTGCTAGATACAGGCGCGCTGATGTCTTTTCCTGTACAGACGACTACGGCGCCCTCGAGCCCTACATCTCGGCCCAGATCATGGAGCTTCACCACTCCAAGCACCACCAGACCTACGTCAACGGCCTCAACACCGCTCTCGAGACCGTCGAGGACGCCAACGCCAAGGGCGACTACGTCAAGGCTGCTGCCCAAGCTCCCTTGATCAACTTCCACGGCGGTGGCCACGTCAACCACTCTCTCTTCTGGGAGAACCTCGCCCCTGCCAGCAGAGATGGCGGTGGCGAGCCCGACGGCAAGCTGGCTGTACGATATTTCTCTCAATCAGCCTAATGCTCTACTAGGAGAAGATGCTGACACATCTCGCAGCAAGCTATTAAGGAGGATTTTGGCTCCTTCGACACCCTGCGCAAGCAGATTAACACCTCCCTGGCTGGTATTCAGGGCAGCGGCTGGGCCTGGCTGGTTAAGGACAAGACTAGCGGCACCCTCGGCGTCGTCACTCGCGCGAACCAGGACCCCGTTACCGGCAACCTCGAGCCTCTCCTTGGCATCGACGCTTGGGAGCACGCCTACTACCTGCAGTACCAGAACCGCAAGGCCGAGTACTTTGACGCCATCTGGAACGTTGTCAACTGGAAGACTGTCGCCAAGCGCTTCGAGAAATAAGCAAGGATGGGGACACATGTACGATATGCAAGTGTTGATACCTAGCAAGAATTTACCGTGTTCGATCAATGTCAACCTGCTGTTCAACAACGTGCCAGGCTGTGACAGCCACCCCAATTCCAATCAATCAATATACTAAGGATACATTAACACGTTTTGTAACTAATGTGATAATGCCCATTTTACGACCTCGGCCGACAGAAACAAGCCCCAAATTCCTCGCTCTAGTCAACAATGTCTCGACGCCATCTCATGGTATTGGGAGGAATCCCATATCTGCCCACTTGCTACCATCGAAGTGGACATGCTTCAGTTGTCGGTTCGCTTGGAAGAAGCAATGACTGAGGTCATGCGATGCCTCTAGGGGCACCTCCGGAATCTTGGCCGACGCAGCTGTAACACAGGCGATGTGCGTTGGATTATCGACACCATCGAAAACAGAATCTGTCTCTGGCCCTTTCCACCCTGTCGCATCGTCCTCATACACGTAGGATATCTTGCCAGTCTTGGATTCCTGGTATAGGATCCATGTATTGAGGGCCTCCGACTTTTGGCCGCTGGAATCCAACCGAGCTACAGCAAAGCCAGCCATGGTAAAGTTCGAGTCAACAGTCACCGGTAACTGACCCGTCGAAGTAAGCTGCTGGCCATCAGATGAGCGATCATAGTTTTGCAGATGGCCGTCGGTGCTGCGGTAGATGATACGAGCGCTCGATGCAGATGTCTGGTCTCCAGCTGAGTGGATTACTTCTCGAGGAAGAATCACCAGTGCCGAGCCTGGAGAGGCTGTCACCCCGACGATTTTGGGCTCCTGGAACCTGGGCGACTTGTAATCGAAGAATACCTCCATAACGTCTCCGTTGCTTGCCTGGACAATGGTAGACGGCCAATACGATGCCATCTGTGTCCCCGTGTTGCTGATGGTGTAACCTGCCTCATTGACGCTGTCTGTCAGGCCCCCTCTTGAGAATCCTTCACGCCAATTGACGCCGAGGATCTTGTCTGGCGATCCAACATAGAAGACCTCAGACTGCGGGATGACAGGCAAGGGCTTTACGAGGCATCTTTAGTGAAAGGCCCACCGACGGAAACAGGGCGATTACGAACCTCATCGGGCTTGGTCCATAGCTGACCGGCGCCGAAAGGAGAGCCGACCTTGGGGGCCGCACCAGCTTCCATCGGGGGAGTCCAGGCTTGGTAGATGGTCATGTACTGAGACCTTCTCAATGAACCGTCCGTGCCTTGGAAGAAGACTTGTAGGGTAATGTCGGATCCGTATCGCCATCCGACAGCAGATACAGCTGAGTTCTGCATGATCTTGGTGGCGCTCGTCGATGGCGTATCGCCGTCTCCCGACCCTTGACTACCCGTCTGTGACTGCTCGCTCCGATTTGCCGTCACTCTCCACGCGGCCACGCCTCCGATAACACCTCCAAGAACCAAAACGACTAGAGCTACAGTGATCGCGATACACCATGGGAATCGCCGAGCCGGCCGCTGGTCCTCCTGCCCTCCAACATGGCTTCCAGGGGCTTGCGAGAAGTAGCCATTGTCCAACGTCTTGTGCTCACTATAGCCTGAACCGTTCTGTGAGGCAGACTGCCAGTGATTTGCTCCGTTGGCGATGGCTATAGGAGTGTTGTCGTAGTGGGTGCTTACTTCGAGCCCTGGTTGAACAGACCCTGCTGGACGATCCATGGCGAACGGTTATGATGGAAGGTGCCGAGATGTCAGAAACACCAAAGTTCCAAGAAACCAAGAGAACGAGCGGAAAGCCGTCGCGGGTCTCTTGCAATATGTATATCTGGGCTCACATCCGACCTCACGCTAAGGCAAGGCTTTTGCTTACATCGCTTCGTCTTGTTTCAACACTTTCCAAGTCTACAGGATACAATACAAGGGCTCAAAAGTCTCGTATCCTTGTAACCCATTATGAAGGCTACCTACTCACCTACTCTGCAGAGCTGGATTGGCCCCCAGGTTCGACACAAGGACATGAGCCAAGATCTGCAACTGTGCCATCTCACCCGCAGGAGAAGCAAAGCCAGGTAACAGCTGACATCGAGATGCCCCCTACTCCATTGATGTCCAAGGTTGCCTCGTTAGAATTTTCCCCCGTTCAATGGCAGGGGCTCCTCTGGCGCGTAGGGTTCTCAAGTCCACTTCTGGCGGGCAAAAGGACAATAATTGGCAAATCATCAGGCTGCGCGCCTTGCGAGAGTTGGGAAGACGTTGACGCCAAGGAGGCGGCACAGCAGGGTCTCTAATTGCGGCCTCTGGTATCCTGCAACTATGTAATAGGGCTGGGCTGACTGAAGTGACAACTCAATATGCAGAGTGTCATGCACCGCCAGAGGGCGGTTACACTGGAAATACCAAAGTCCCTTTCCGGCGTTCCATCGGTCTTAATGAAGGGCAGCCTGGACGGGAATTTGAAAGCGACAGACCGGGACCCCTGGCTAATTCGCTAACAGGCAACGAGCTGACAACATTAAATTAACCTTGTTTGTGATTGAGAACGTGCCCAAGACTGGATGATGATTCGTGGTATCGCTCTGGGTAATTAATTCCTCAGTCCCACGGAGGCTTGAGGCCAATTACTGCATGCTGCTCTACCTTGTGTTTCTACCTTGAATCCCAGACTCCAGTTTCCCGGGATTGCGTCCTTTGTCTAGCAACGAAGCCTTGTACTCCGTACAACACCAGAAAAAAGCTTCAACTGACTTCGTCGTTGACCGTGGCGATTCCTGGACAGTGACAACCCGCGGTTCTGTCATGATCTGTCCAATCGAGTAAATGGTCTAAATGCACGAAAGCCGCATCTCGGGTCGATCGGCAAAGGATTGGCCCGAAGGTCTTTTGGTACGGACCAGATCGCTCCTCACGTGTGCACATTAGGCAGAACCAAATGGTTCGCGAGTCCGCCACGTCTAGGCTTCATCGAGATAAAAGAGGACGGGAAAAGCTGCTCTAAATGATCGAGATTGTTAATTTTCTCATCAAAGATAGCATGTTGCTCAAATTCCGACCAATTCATATTGTTCTACTCGCCAGTATTTCACTGTGAAAGGCACCCGTGCCCTCACCATGCCCCTGTGCGACCTCTGCCGATCCATCTCTTGGGAAGATCTCCCTCCCTTCCCGAATGACAACTTCATAAAGACGTTGAGCGGCTGCCCGCGATTCCATCACCTGGTATTGAAGAGTTCCCTGATTGAGAAAGATACGCCCATCAAAAGATTCGGCGTCCAGTATCATGCCAGCCTCCAAAGCCTACGCCGAGCCGCTTCTGGCGGCTGCGAGCTCTGTCAGATCATCGAGAACGAAGCCGATGCCCTGATAGAGGAGATCGCAAGCCTTCGCCAGCCAAGACGCGGTGTGATGCAGACCGAGCCTAGTTGGGATATGTGGTTGACGAAGCGCTCGGAGCCCGAAGTCACTGGCGATGGGTTCTGGGTTGTGAATAGAAGCTCTTGGGGGAGTGACAAGTGGCTCGTCCCGATTGCGTCCATCGGCTTCAGTTCCGACGAAGGTGAGCTTCCCTCCACAATCTGTTCAACGCCATTCACTTGGTCCACGTACTAACTTGTGGCTTAGGTGATCCTCGCACTGCTGGTTCCTCTGGTCGTGTGTTGAAAGAAGTCCCAGACGAGACGACACTCCGCCGAGCTGTTGACTGGCTTGAAAAGTGCAACGAACATGACTATTGTAGTACTCGCGGGAAGTCTCCTCTACCAAGTCGTGTACTTGATGTTGGGACCCTGGAGTCCGGTCCCTTCATCAAGCTTGTCGAGCCAGGCGCTGATCTCCACGATCGGTACATTACTCTCAGCTACTGCTGGGGTCAAGGATCAAAGCACTTCACCACAACAAACGAGACGATGCAAGCACGTAAGGAAGGGGTCCCACTGGACTCCTTACCGCAGACCCTCCGAGATGCAGTTTTCATAACTCGAGCCCTCGGAGTCCGGTACCTCTGGATCGACAGTCTCTGTATTTGCCAGGACGACCTCAAAGACTGGGAACGAGAGTCAGGCCAAATGGCCGCGGTCTACTCCAACTCATACCTTACTATCGCGGCCACGAAATCTTCCGACATCAACGGCGGTCTCCTCTCGCCACGAAAGAAAAGGACATACTTGAATCTCCCTCGGGGAAGTGCCAGCGACGAAGACAAGTTCATGCTTGCTTCTGTACTACCTCTCCACAAAGAAATCATCCACGAGTACCACTTGCAAATGAAGGAGGAGCCCCTGACCAGACGAGCTTGGGGGTTCCAGGAACGTGTTCTTGCCCGAAGAATACTGCACTTTGGGAGCGAACAAATGTATTGGGAATGCCTCGAGGGATTCCAAGCCGAAGAAGGTCTCAAACTCCCCCATCGACTGTCCTCCGTCAATCCCGATCCGGAAGTCATCGCCCACGTGGAAATCCGCGCCGAGGAGCAGGCAGAGCTTCACAAAGACTTCAATCGCTCTGCATCCTCTCTCAAGTCTTGGCCTCACCTTTTGTCCGAGTACGGACCCCGGGAGCTGACAAATCCTGCGGACAAGCTGCCTGCATTCTCCGGTGTGGCGAAGACGTTCAGCAAGATACTCGACGAGGAGTATCTGGCGGGACTGTGGCGAGGTTCCTTGATTGAGGGGTTGTGTTGGCAGCCATTGAACTGCAAGCCTGCTTCAGGAGGCTACCGCGCTCCGTCGTGGTCCTGGGCCTCTGTCGATGGTACCCCTGCGACCGGATTCTTGGGGGAGAGTGTACCTCACGCGGAGATCATCGAGACAAAGGTCGAAGTTGATGGCGAGAACCCGTTTGGTCGCGTCAAAGACGGCTGGATCAAGCTCGAGGCCCCGCTCGTCAAGATGGTCGTGTCGGACAACAAAGGCCCGACGGGACACGTACTCCTGAGGACTGAAAAGGGCGAGACCGACTTCTACGCAATGCTGGACACGATTGACCGAGACTATGCTGCTAGTGCGAGTCTTCTCAAGGCAATGGATCTGCATGCTTTGGTTCTGACTTTTACATATGGCACGCCTTTCAATGCTGATCCCGAGCGTAAGGACCCCTGTGCTCAAGCGCTGCTTGTGATTCCTTCGGAGGATCGACCGGGCTGTATGAAGAGGATCGGGATGTTAGTTCAGGATGGAGCAGCCTTTGAGGCAGACTTACTGGCGTCTACGAAGTCTACTGTCACCTTGGTGTGAATTGTGTTAGGGAAGTGAGGATAGGGTATCATCGGTGTATTTCAGCCTGTACGCCGTGCTGTGCTGCTATATCGCTTCCCCCTTACGAAGAAACGTAGTTGACAGAGGTCCCCCCGTGTTTAAATCTTGCTATGGAGACGTCAAGAAGTGCGCCTGGTTGTCTGGTCTCGCCGGCATCGAGTGCCACACGCTTATCTCCACCGTTTTGTTGATCCCTCCCAGTGATGTCGGTTCGATTCCATCGAGACCGATGTTGGAACTTGACGGACCAGCGCTGATGATGTCCTCCTGGGAACTCGTCCGCCTGCCACCGCGAACCTCGACCAGCCTCTCGCTGTGTTGCGTGGCAGCATACCAATCATTCTGCTTCTGATATGATGCAAATCCCCTAAGTGGCGATCGACTTGGTTGTGTTGGGTGATAGACCTGTGTCGTGAAGACGAGTTTAGATGCCAGAATGTCAATGCTACTCAGAATATGTTCGTTAGCAGCAACATGCATTACGTGGGAGTATCGGAGTATTACTCACAACATGACCACAGGGAATAGACATTCTAGTGTATATGCGAAGCGATCAATCTGGCTCGCCGCATTCGTCGCACTCTGGGCCGCAACCTGGAATGAATATGTGACGGCTCGCATGGTTCCAATCAAAGCCAGCGTGGCCACCCGGACTTCAGTGCTTCGCATGAGGTATTTGAACAAGCCTCCCTTCAGAGCTGCCCTCAAGGATGTCGACTTGACTTCAGCAAACGTCTTGAGCAAGAAGAAGGAGCTGATGCACTCAAGGGAAGCTATGAGAACAAAGTAACCGATGTGTAAGTTGTTGACGGTGCTTTGCAAGTTCGTATTACCCCTCAAGATGAATTTGGCGCGTGAGACGGCGATCATGATGCGTATTGATATGATTGAGAGAACCATGATCCAGAACAAGGTATTGAAGATCTTCCAGCCCATGTCCTTTAGAATCCTTCGGAGAAGGACGTAGCTATAGAAGGACAATCCGACTTCTTGAATCTAGGGGCGAGGTTAGTACACGCAGACCATGGCTGAAATCCAACCTTACCATCCAGAATATATCACCAAACACCGAGGCGGCAGCTTTGTTTTTCAGTGAGTACGTCTCATCGTAAAATGCATAGTAGCAAAGCCCGTTGGCGATGGCGCCAGCAGCTGACGATATGATCGGCACCGCGGTAATCTGGGAGAAGGTTGTGATTCCGACGATGAGGAAGCCAAGAATCACGTTGACGGCACCAATGGTACTCAGAATCGACCAGCTCAATTCGAAATATAGCGACAGGAGCGGCGTCGACATGTTGGCGTTACTGGAGCAACTAGATGTCTGCTCGACTGTCGCATGGCGGTTGCGGATGTGCGAGATGGTTCAAGGACCTGTTGTCACGAACGCTTTACGATCAGTCTCGCGCTTAATACTCTCTGCCTGGCAAACCTAGTGGTATCGACCGGCGTTCGACTCGCAAGGTAACTGCTTGAAGTCTTCGGCGGCAGGGTGTCAGAAACATGCAGCCTGGAACTCTCCCTGGCGAATCGCTGGGCAACAAGGCGAATTATTTCGCAATCCGGCAGCTTTCGTGATGTTAAGAGCGTTCGAGACGTACTGATCCTGGTCGACCCTTGTCCCAAACCAATGTGGCCGAAGTCTTTTGTGAAACTCAAGGATGATAGGCTTGGCCTCTGCTTCGATAAAAGCTTTCAGGGTTCAACATCGGAAAGATTCACGGAGAAAGTGCACCTAATTCCAATCCAGTTCTTCGTAACCATGGGACAATGCCCTGTGCTTCCAATCGTCGGAAGAAGGCTGCTCAATTTGCAGCCTGATGTCTATCATGGGTTACATCCGCGGTAATGATTGCCATGTACATGCCTCTTATCCACTTCAGTGATGAAGTTGGCACCTATTTCTACTTCCACTGTCTTTGAAGAGTTGCGAAAGTTCGAGCAGAGTAGCTGCTGCCTTATGAACCGGTGACTGTGACTGGCGGCCGATTGCCCGACGTCCCCAGAGTCGGGTGTTAGAGTTCGAGGCACAACACCTCGGACTCCCCAGAAAGCTTAGAGCACTTCATAACCATGCTCGAACCCCGCTTCCCTCACCGAATATTCGTGCAAGGGGACTTGAGAGAGGGAGGCACCCTGTCCTGCGATCAGCAACTACTGCATGTGTTTACTCCATACATCCGGCCCCGAGACCAATGTCAGGCGGTGGGGAGTTGTTGGTGGCAATTTCTTGTTGCCTACCAAGTGCCAACTTGGTGTTCCATCAAGAGAACGGCGGCACAGACGCCGCACAGGTATCGCAGCAGGGGAACTGAGGATAAACATGACCATGATAACAGAAAGACGCAAGGAAGACGAAAAGACGACGGCCAGCTTACTCTATGAATCCACCTTAGCATTCCTCGGACTTGACTCCGACAATCAAACCGGTCTCCAGAAGGCCCAGCTAACAGCGGGTCTCGGCGGCTCCAAATCTGACCATCCTCCCCAATTTTACTCCGTACATGCACAAACAACAAGTTTCGTTGACAGTGTATACGCAAACTTGATGTACGAATTGGCAAGTTACGGCTCGGGGATTCAGGCGACGAGGAGTTTTCTGATTGTCAGAGACGACAAAACGGATGAATGGCCGTGAAAACACATTACCGCGTAGCATGTGACGAGGGGTCTGAATCGTGTAGATGTACAAAGCCTGTTCGCCAGGGATGGTAAGCTTGACGCTGGTGATAGAATTGAATTTCAGGTCTGCGCCCCATCCCCCACGGAATACGGTCAATGCTGTGGCAACCACCACCGCCTTTTGAGAATTCGACAAGCAAGATGTTGATTGGAGGTGCTCAGAACGAAGGCTCTACGGGACGCGAACAAAGGTTAACACAGCAGCTAGGCAAAGACTTGCCGGGGAGTTCCCACGGCAGTTGCTGCTACTCAACAGGGCCGTTGACGAACATCAAGATTATAATTTCCATGGTATCATTATGTCTCTGACAATAAACTCACATGAAGATACCCAGTTGTGCCACAGGGATCTCCTCCACGTACGTGTGCCCAAGACGCCTGTGCAGAGGCACGGAGGGTATCTTCCATAACCCAATCCGCCCCCTGGTCGCCTGAGCAAACAGCCTTTTTTTTTTTCTTCGTCTACCTGATCCCAAACGCCTTGTTCATGAAAACTGCTTCCTCACTCCATCTTCTAACCTCTCTGGGTTTTCTCGTCCGGGGCTATGTCCTCGCGCTTTGGGCGGCGATGTCGTCAAGTCCGGAAACGCTGTTTTCTGAGCCCATCGAGGGCATGGATTGCTCTGCATCCATGTCATCGAACATCTTCCAGTCGACGTACGATTCTCCATTCATACTATTTGGACACGGCTGGCTGCTCATCTGCATCCCTTCGCCAGGCGCCGAAGCCGACGCGCCCCCTGCTATGCTCGAAGATACCAAGTTTTGCGCCGCGCCGGAAATGTACTCCTCGATGAAGGAGCATCCACAGCTACCGTGTTGGAGCACCATGGTCTTCAACATGAGAATCTCTCCACGGAGCAACGCAGCTTCTTCGTTGAGGTTCTTGTTGATGTTCTCGGCCATCGCCTCCTGACTTTGCAGCTCCTCGACCCCCTTCTGCTTCTTCTTTCGGCACTTGTAAGCTGCCTCCCGGTTTCGTGCGCGGATCTTGTTCTTCTTGGCTTCTGTGCCGCTGCGTTTGTCCCCAGCGTTGATGGTACCGCTCATTGACGTGTTCGAGGCTCGTCGGGGAGTTGCTTTCTCCTGTGTCCCTGCAGCCGTCGTCGATGCAGCAGCATCTCGTCCGTTGTCCTCAGAAAGCCTCGGACGCCCCCTGCGTCGCTTTGGTGATTCTATCGCCTCGACTGGTAAAGATGGCTTCGTTTCGCTTGCGGTATCGAGAATCAGAGGGTCGATTGGTGGGCATTTCGGTGATTTGGTGCTGTCATTCGGCGACACGATGGAGCTGGGTGGTGATGACGATCCCTCTGCCTGATTGCTGACAGGAGAATCTTGCCATGGTTGAGAACCTTGACCTTGTGTTGAGGCCGAAGACTGACGATCTACTTCAAACGGAGGGTTCGCGGCTAGCAGGGCCCGGGGCGAGACGAAAGTCATTCGTAGACTATTGTTGACAAGTGTCTGTTGTGAATGCTGCCGATGCTGTGGTTGTGGTTGACAGTGCTCAAAGCCACTTATAGTCCGGTCTGCACATTGAAGTCAGGATACAAACTGAGGTACTACAGGCATACTTGATGGATAACCCACTTTGTTGAAGCAGGCTCACACCACTTCCGGGAAATGCCATCTCCAACTCTCTTTTGGCTGCAGTGCGACTATAACAGGGGATGGGCAGTGGATGACCAGGGTTGTCTTGACTGGCTGGGCAAGCCTTGGCGGGAGAAAAAAAAAAAAAAAAGCTAAGCAAGCAATGGTGGTATCACGAAGGTGATCCTGGGCAATACCAGTAGAACGTGTATATTAGAGGGGCAACAAGTCTTCGAAGGATATCTGGTGAAAGGGGATAGCATGGAGAAGGCTGGAATTGGCTGAGGACGAGAAACATGACACACGCGCCACGCCAAGGGGCTCGTGAAGAGATCTTGCGATCCTTTTAAAGGAACGCGGCACAACCAACGGAAGACGAGGTGGGTGGGGGGTGGGGAGGCGCCAAAGAGCACGTATTCTTGTCCCCCGGGTCTGATTAGGACAAGCACCTCGTGGCACAGGAACAGCAAGGCTAGACATGGCAGGCCAAGAAGAGTGATCCTGTACGGCGGAACCAGCCGCGGAAACCAGTGCCAGTAGCAAGATCGGCGTGCTGCATTTCGGCTGAGCGGTGCTTCTTGAGAAGCTCGTGGACTAATTGGCGGGGTGGCTTCGGCCAAGCTCAACAAGGTCGAAGAGCAGTGACACACGCCCGCGGCCCAGGGTACTGAGGGTAGAGGGGGAGGGGGAGGGGGCCTTACTGTCACGTAACAGCTGCCGAGGTGCAGAAAGGGATCCTAAGGCGTTTGCCACTATGATAGTAGCGTCTGAAAGTGAATAGGTAATAGTGCCTAGACTCCCGCCCTTCGTGGCTTCACTCGACGTTCTCGGCTATCTATCTCTAGATTTTGTTAGGTGGAGTGGCGGGACGAGGCTTCAACGAGCACCTAGGTGTCGGTCGGGAACTACACTAGGCATGTAGGTTAGTACATAGAAAACACAGGGGGGAGGATGTTTGCCATGTCAACCTGTACGATGACGAAGCGCCAAGGTCCTACACGGTCGCTACGGAGTAGAACCTGCTTTCGTCCTTGAAGCAGGGGGCTTGAAGCAGGGGGGGGCAGGGGGGCAGGGGGTCCTCGGGAGCTTTCCTCCGGGTATGGGGTGGTATCCGTACGAAGTATGGAGTACATGTTGTATGATGTAGGTACTCCGTATCTCAACCAGCGGAGTTTCTTCCGCAGAGCCCTAAACCAATGGACATGTCTCAACGTCTAGTCTTGATCAGAACCATGTTTGGTCGACCGGGAACTGCTTGACTGTGCTTGGCTAAGGTATCTATAGTAATACCTAGCTGGGCCCTTGTACATAAACCACGAATTGATTGCCTACCTTATGATGGAATCTCCCCCTCGTTCTCTGCCCCCATCGAAAGCTTTTCTCGTAGTTTACCGAGTACACGCTCTCACGCTGTCTGTCCATGCTCCAACATTCCCGTCGTATACCCACTGCGTCACTTTGATCCATTCTACCATCCCGAGTCTCCGAGGAAAGACCATTGGACAATTCCAATAGGGAGCAATCAGAAATGTGGCTTGCCTCAAGTGGCGAACCCGCAAGGAAGCGTGTGCCTCGGAGCCCCGGTGGGACGCGACGACGAGCCACATTTTCAACCCCGCGAAGCAGGTCAAACAGGCTTTCATCCTACATGTGCCGTCGCAGCCACGAGCAGGTGAGCATCAAATAACCCTTCAAATCTCTGGGCTGTTGGCGGTTCTCCACCACCGCGTCCATCACTGAGCCGCTTCACTGGAAGACTTTCAAAATGGAAGCCGGGATTTCTTCTCCGGGGCTCCAATCGCAGCGGTCCCCTGAATCAATTGCATTGTGCTCTTTGGAATCCTGGGGGCCCGCATCGTTCTATCTCTGAATTTTTGCCAATCCAATGTGTCTTGGCCCCCAATGAACGGGCCTTTTTGGTGTCCCAGAAGACCTGTGGCCCTGTAAACTCCGATGGAATTCCTGATATCGATTAGAAAGCATCCAATTCTGCTTAGCGGCCATGATTCTGGACCAGCAGCTGACGCTAGTTTAGCGTAGGAGAGAGATCGTCAGATCGTCTTCTCTTGGAAACACACAATCTCCACGGAGCTTTGAAATTTATGTAGGTATGCCCTTGTCCTTCTCAAATTCTTTCCACCCGCGCCGCGCCACCCATGCCCCCTTGCTAGCGATGGTCGAATTTTTGAGTTGTGCTCAGTGAGCTGTCGCACAGTGGAGTTGGAACATCTACCTAGGTACTGCTCTCGCCGTCAATCATGCCATTCCCAGACTCGGGGGCCATAACCTCGTTCAACCTACATACTTGGCCAGCATGCCGATACCCCGATTGTAATCGTGCATCCGCAATGTACTGCAAATCCCCATCGTGCAGTCACAAGGGAAATATCCCAGAGCCGAAGACCTCAGACTCGAACCACATCTGGTCGTCTCTGGCCGGGCCCTTCGGCCTAGTCCGCACAAGTTTCACCCGGATATCAGACTAGTCCCGGAAGTGAGGGGTTGTAAACGTTTCTAGCTTATCCCGCAGTGCTTTTCAAACTTTAATCACACCAAATGGGTTGTTCTTACTTGCGCGAAGGCTGTTTTGCCTGAGCAGTGACGTGCTTGTAGCTGGCGTGCTGGCCCAACACTTGAATGTCTGCCCGCATTCTCTTGGGACACATGCCATGGATAGCACCAAAGCAACGCTCCCCCGCTTGGAAACAAAACATTCCAGTCTCACCAAGCTCCGCTCAACAGTCTGTGTCTTGCTTCAGGAGCTGCAATCCAATGAGAGGGTAAACGAAGCACCTCGGCCTCATGACAAAGTCTTTCACCCATCCCTTCTCACTTCAGACTGTGCTGTTCGCAAACGCCTCAAGGCATTATGCGACTCCACGACTCGCCCATTTTAGACTCTGTGGTGATGCCATCCAGCGTCTGAGCTACGCCGGATACGTGTCCCTCACACTCACTATCCAAGCGATGTTGTGCTAGACAGAAAGTCGACGCAACCAGATTCAGCTATTGATACGGTAGAGACGAACGCCATATTGAGGATGTCCCAATCTAACTTTATGTGCGACGGCTTGCCTGGGCACAGTCGATGTCGCTTTTCTTTTTGCCTTCATCACCAAAAGCAAGCGAATGCCAGTGCTAAATAATACGCTATTCAAGTTGCTTTTCATCGGCATCAAAATCCACAGACTCGTAACAACGGGTTGAACGGCCATCACAACTGAAGTGAGGTCATAAGGAAATGCCACTTAGCTCTAATCATCGTGCCCAGGCCACCCGTATTAAAGCAGCGGCTTCTAAGTGATACTCTTGACACGGCCATCATGTTGGGTCTACTCAGCGATCACTCAAGCCAGGTAGATGTTTGGTTACAACCGGCTTCCTTGACGAGTCAAGGCCTCGACTGCGGTTCAGGCGTAATCTGACTTCACGACGAATAGGAGCTTATGAAAGGAATACGCATTCACGGCTCCTCAACGCTTACACACGTGGGAGATCGCAGACTGGCTTGGTTATATGCTTGATATCAGACTTCGTTGCCTCATGTCGCTTCCATAAGTACATACTTGCCTTGGGGAGGAGGGGGGAACATTAGAAACCTCAGTCGGCGCGGTAGTTTGTCTGTCGTCAGGGAGTGCAAGAATTCGCAGCCAAAGTGAGTATTCAGTGGCTTCGAATGAGACCTCCAATATAAAACGCTTGTCCGCTGTTCTTCATTCAACATCCACAGCCAACCGTACACCCCAATACCAACGCAGATCATACGTGACAGCTTCAAGTCGCACCCTCTCTTCAACTTACGTTAACTTCGGGTACCCTGTTTTGAAGACGTTCTCTGGATCAAATTTTTGCTTGATCTCTCTGAGTCTTGATAGGATGTCCTCGCCGTACGTTGATCCCCAGTCCGTGTCCTTCTGGGGGCCCAGGTTACGATTTCCATATGGAAGCATTTGGCCCTGCTCCGAGAGGGAGTTCACCAGATCATCTGCCCACTTCTTGTACTCTTCATATTCCGCCGCCTGCGCGGTAGTGTCAATGACACCACCAGAAGGAGCTGCTATGCGATGCCTCTTGCGCAGAGGATAGCAGACTGCCGGGTTCGCCTCGATCGCTCGACCATGGGCGGCATGGATGACAGTAGCAGAAGTTGCCTCCGGCGGTGCGTTGTTGCCGAACGCACTGGCTATTCCTGGAGTGAAATATTCGAACATCCTGAGCCGAGGGTACCAGTGAACATTGGTCGGCGAGGGAATCGCGTTGAAAAACGTAAAGTCGTCGACTGTACGTCTAATAAGCGATTGTCCTCTGCAGTGAAGGGTTGGTGTACATACCTTCTGCCACCGTGTTGAGAATGCCAAGAGACTTCATCTTTTCAAAGAAAGCCCATCCTTCTTTCAGATCATCGTTCTCTGCCGTCCAAGCAAACAGCCAAGAAAATACGGGGCCAACACCGGGAAGAGCCATGTGGGTAGCTTCGCCAGTGAAGTTAACGGGCAGATCCTTTTCAAATTCGCCGACCTGATCGTTGGGAAATCCGAGAAAGCCTGCCAAAAAGCCTGTTTGGGAATACACCTTGAGCTGTAGCTCGACTACGACACCAAAGTTGCCGTTGCCAGCCATAAGAGGACGCGTTCGAATGGGGATCTGGCCACGTCGCGATCGGAAAGAGCGAGGTAGTAATCAATGAGATATCAAAACTCTTGTGAATACGATGTGCCTCCCGCAGAATCCAGAAGAAAAGAGCCGTTGTGATACGTCGAGGTCTCGAGCTGTCAAGAAGCATGAGGGGGTAACAGTAGCCTGGGCATTACCGGTAGCTCAATCCGGTGGCCGGTATGACATGCGCCTCGAGATACGCTCAGGACCAATGAGGGGAGCTAAACTGATGAAGTGGTGCTCTCAACTCCTGGATTCATCGCGAGAGTTCGGACGGTGTATATTGGCAATCAGCGGCTTCCACAAGCTTCATGTCGTCTGCGTCGAGCCTGAAAATATTCGACACACCTGTGCTGTCCAAGGAAAGGCAAGTCGACCTCCTGCATAGGTGGCATATGCTTGTGTCTCGAGACCGTGTTCAAGTGCTGGCCCTGGGTATTCCGGCGACGTGCAACACTAGCTTTTCGAAAACTTTGATACCGGCAGAGTCATGGACATTCTCGGTCCAAATGACCTCCTCGAGCTTGGCCTTGGCTTCGGGCCATGTAGGTCCCAGAGAGTCTCGCAGGTTGGCTAACTTTGGCAAAAGCCAACGATCGTCTTCCTCTCCCAATACAGATATAGCACCGATCACAAGACTCCAGGCCAGTAAGAGTTTTGTGGCAGCGCATGTGGATGCTGATATCTCAAAGTTTTTGCATGCTGACCTGAGCTTGGTAGCCAAAGAGGTGAATTGGAATTTGGCTCCTTGTACCTGGAGGAAGAGGGTGGTGATGTAGCTGATCATCCCAAGGCGACCAAACTCGGCCAAGGCATTGTGCGCCGTCGTCTCCGAGTACAACAGACGGTATTGGACGCAAGTCATAAACTCCTGAAACAGATTTGGGTCAATCTTGCGATTGGTGTGGTATAGGGCGGTTGCCAGGCGGGAGAAGTCGTGGAGATCTTGGAAGACGTTGCCCAAGCGGCTATCGGCCGCGTCCAAGACAAGTCGTATGCCTGGAGAACTAGGGCAGATCTCAGAGCCCACAGGGACTTGGCCGAGTATTGGAGAGAAAGCAGGTTCCCAAGAGAAGGTATCCCGGAAGTAGAGCGGTTTCTCGCCAGTGCATAGACTCCAACCAATGTCGACCCTTTACTTTGTCAGACTCTGTACATGATTATCGAGGAATAACACTTACCGACAGATATTGACCTGTAACTGAAGATTGTGAGAAAAGCTCTCGATTTCGCCCCTCAGCTTTACTATCTGACGCATGCCTTGGATATGAGCGGCGGCATTGTCGCGCTGTCCGAAGATTTCGGCCACCATGCACATGGAGACAATGGTGGCGATGGTCGAGTCGGCCAAGGCCATGTCTTGATTTGCAATGTTTTGGTTCAAGAGCTGGAGTGTTTTCCAAATGTGGAAGTTGGTGTGCTTGCTTGCACTCTCTCCTTTAACAGTGTCCTGCATCAGCCCGACCGTGAATAGAATGGAGTGCAGAAACGCAGCATCTGTGAGCAGCCAGTAGAACCACGGAGTCTTGCTCTCGTCGTATTGCAGACACCATTCAATGGGGTACATCGTCTCTTTGACGACGGCGTAGACTATGACTAGATGAGCATGATGACGAATCCAAGGCAAAGGCCAAACTTACATTCGAATAGCATGCCCCGGGAGGCCGCGTCAATATCGTCGGCAAATTGGAACATGTACAGGTCATTGGGTGTGCGGAATACATGCTCGAACCATGCAATCTTGTAGAGTTTCTGCTTTCTCGGCTCTTTAACGAGTGCAGAGAGTGACTTGGGCGCAGGTGGTTCCTCTGGTTCCTCTGGAGGCTGTGGACTAGTCTGGTTGACCCTCTTCGTCGAGCGCTTCTGGCCGCCGCGAGACGGGCGTGTATTCTTGCCTCGCATGACATGGCTGCGGATGAGTTTGCGGTCGTCTGACTTGGGCTTTCCAGACGTGTCTGTGATGACAAAGGCGAAGCCCTTGCTGGCTGCAACGGCGATGTTAGAGTGGATGACCATGGGCAGATGGGTTGGAGATCATACTAGGCCGTTTCTGGTTCACCATCTTCAACCTGCGGGTCTTGGAGGTCCTGTTGCCTCTTTTGGTGAATAATCTAGCTGGGTGCCCTCTCAGGTAATCGATAATAACGTAACAGAGACCGGACGGAGCTAAGATGACAGCCGGATCAAGCTGTGAGATGCTCCTTGGGTTGGGATTAAGATGGGAAGTCCGGCAGATTGGAAGAACTGTTTACCCAAAGGGAAAAACAATCGAGGAAATGGGCAACGGAGCGTTCAAAGGCAACGAAAACCATGCGTAAGACGACCGGATTTACCCTGCAATCTTGCCTTATCCCGACCCAATGCCCCCCCTCACTACGAAAAGGTAAGCCGGCTCGACGACCAAAGTCCTTTCGCCGAGCACTGATTGTTGCCTTCTTCCGGCCTAGCGCCGATCCTTCCGGCCGCTGCCCCGCCTTCTGGCGGCCGCTCCGCCACGTGGTATCCGGCGATGAAGTGGACCAATTCAGTGGTGGAGGGTCCGAACACGCCGTCCTCCCACCGATTGCTTTCCGGTCTTGGACGAGCTCTGTTTCTCGCATTGATTGATGTCCATATTAGGTAACCAGTCGGTCTTCCTTTTCGAGACAGCAATCGATCACCAGGCGTTCACGATGCCTCCACTTCAGCCACCCGTAGCGTTTCGACGCCCCTGCTCTACGGTTCACCCGCATCCAAGACTGCAAAATGCCTTGCATCTCAAGACTGAAGCTGGTCATGCCTCAGACAACTTGATAGCTATATATTCAGTATGCCTTCGACGATGACTTTCAACATGCTGCTCTACACAGATCAATGCAATCAAAGCAACCACAGCAACAGCAACACCAACACCAACAACCAGCTCCTTCTTCGCCCATCACCTCACAAGCCATTATGACGAGCTCACTTGAACTCCCTCCCCTGAACATGGGTCCAGGCAGACTCTTCGTAAACTCCCAGTTCTGTGCCACAGCCCGATCACCACCAAAAGACCTCTCCCTCTCCGGGAAGACGGCCATCGTTTCTGGAGCCAACATCGGTCTGGGCTTCACTGCCGCACGCCAGATGCTCGACCACAATCTCTCATGCCTTATCATCGCCGTTCGATCCGCTGAAAGAGGAGAAGCTGCCGCGAAGACCCTGAGAGCAAGTCATCCCGACGCCACGATCGAGGTCTGGTCTCTAGACATGCTCTCGTACAAGTCCATCCAGGACTTTGCCAACCGCTGTTCCACCTTGCCCCGGATTGACTACGTCATCTTGAACGCCGGCATGGTTCAAGAAGACTTCAGGCTCTCGCCAGCGGGTCATGAGCATGTCTTTCAGGTGAACTACCTGTCGACTGCCCTTCTCACCATCCTTCTTTTGCCAGTCTTGAAGTCTAAGAAGACCTCTGGCCAGCCGAGCAGATTGACAATCGTCAACTCAGGCACTGCCTTTATGGCCAAGTTTCCGGAGCAGGACAAAGTTCCCATGATAGCCGCATTCGACGACGGAAAGGCTTTCAATGCCACCGACCGCTACTCGACGTCGAAGCTCCTGGGTCACCTCTTCATCATCAAGCTCGCCGAACACGTCCGAAGGGAAGATGTCGTCGTAAACCTCGTCGATCCGGGTCTCTGCAAAGGATCAGGACTTCACCGCCACGTCGGTAGTCTCATCAAAACGATAGCGGAAGTGGGAAAGAGCTTGACGGGGAGAACTCTCGATGTCGGGGCGTCTACATACCTTGATGCAGCTGTCGTTAGAGGAGAAGAAACTCACGGAAGCTATCTGATGGACTGGAAAATCTTTCCGTAAGTGCTGACTACCCACGCTCTTTCGTTGATGCTCTCGCTAACGCTCGCTGAAAAAGCTTTGCCAACTTCATCTATACGCCACAGGGCAAGACCGCTCGAGAGCAGTTGTGGGAGGAGACTTTACAAGAATTGGACTTTGCTGGGGTGCGCTCGATCCTTCGCTCCATGCAGTAGGGCTCTCGATAAGGACCTCGCTTCCTTCTGGGCCCTTTTGTCCCGCCAGCCTGGGACTTTGGCATTACCTGGGGCACATGTTGGGTCGTATGCAGAAAGTCTAATTGCTCATTGATGCAGTGGACTCGGATGCAATAGCTCCTGGTGCCAGTCTACCTGCTTTCTTGCCGCGTTTTCCGATTAGGTGTACTGGGTGGGCTTCGCTTAGATATCTCGTATCATCTTTGGTCATCAGTATTCCGGTCTACATAGAGTAATGAGTTAATAGTTTTACTTCCGTACTGATTTGTCAGTTCCAACAACGCCCGCCTGTGAACACCTCGACCAAAGAAAGTCTGTCATCATGTCTAGCGAGTGGTAGCGTTACAATCCAGTGGCGAGCCGGTATGGTGGCAAGCCGTGATCCAGAAGGAGAAGATGAGCACCATGACGTCCTTGTCTCCAAGTCTTCAAGATAAAGACAAATCCCAAGCTGTGATTCATCTACTGAAGTCTCTACCTTCATATCGGATGAACCGCCCGTTACGACGCAAGCAGCCAGGACAGGAAGCCGTAGCGGGTGTGCATATGGAGGCGAAAGCTCACCATAAGGCGCAAGATCGTCGATATACTGCGGCTTCATCGGTACAGTTCACACCATCTTGCACCTTCTCGCAGTCTACGAAAGTCTGGTCTTGGTACCAAAATCCTGCAGCCTGGCCACAGCAAGTCCTTGATTCACATGGTAGCTTATGTCAAGGTGCCTCACCACTTACTCACCAACGGTGTGGCAAAACACCTTCTTAGTTGAGATGGTACGTCGTATCGCTATCACATCTGAAGGGGGCCAGGCTCGGCTTCCCCACAGGTGAGCGAGCTTGCAACTTTGCCAAATCTGTACAATACTCGAAAGAACATTGGCATGGTGACTCGTGAGAACTAGCAAACGATCCTTAGGCCTTGGCGATCTGACCTTTTGGATGGCTCGCGATAGGGTATCACCGGTTGAGTGGCATCACCGAGCTGTCGGATGCGTTTACGCGATGTTTGTCTTCGTCCTGAGATGGCAGTAATATCGCAGCTGAATAGCAGCGGCGTATGGTTCGTCCTCTCGACTTGTACGTAGCTGAGCGATGAAGCGGTACGATGACCTTTTCCGGGCCTGCGCCCGCTGCCAAGGCGCCGCATCATTTGTAAAATAAAATAAAAAGCATCCAACAGACCTCTCTGCAGGCCAAGAACAGCCTGCGCCAGGGGATCGCTGCGAATGATCCTAGAACGAACGACCCTGGTGATTCCGCGCGATGGGTGTCTGTCAACTCTCTAGAATCCAGGCGCAAACGATAGGGGCGATTCTTCAGGTCGCCCAGCGAAACAACTCCCAAGACTTTTCCAAGACGGCAAGATACGCCCATACGAAGCATTGGCATCGCCAAGGAGAAGCCAAGTTGCCGCGAACCGAAGGTTTTTGAAGTGGTTTACGCATCGCGCGTCTTGGAAGAAGCTTCATTCGAGCCTCTCCAACACGGAGGTCCTGGTGAATGTCAAGAATTTCATTTCTCAAGGAAAGTGAAAGTAATTCGTAAATTCCGTTAAATGACGGTTCTGATTACTGGAAAAAAAAAAGCCGTCAGCACCAAAGGCTAAAGGCGAGTCGTTAAGTTGTTCAGCGCCAAGAGGCCATCCCGACCTCACATTCGGATACGGAAGCTTCTTAACAGTCGGCCAGCCATGTACATGACTGACGTTCCCGACCATAAGGATGCGAGCCGTTCGCGAGGATTCATGAGTTGTCCACGGGCTGCCATATCTGCCGCCACGCCGCCAGAGGAGCAAGAAATGGAACCCAAGACATGGCTCGCGATGGCCCAGCGCGGAGTCGCGCCGCACAAACGTCCCTGACGTCTCTTGGCACGCTTGAGAAGGTACTTTGTTTCGAGCACATAATAAATGATAAGGGATCACGCGCCTAGTGCGATAACAGTGGAGGGAATCACACCTTGTCAGGTTGGCCAACAACCCTTGATGCAAAGGCAACGCGGATGTACAGAGTACCCAATCGCAGCGTCGGTTTTTGACCTGCCGAAAGAAGAACAGTGCCGGTCGGGAATCTACCACCCTCGTACGTAGACGACAAAGCAACGGACGGAAAAGCTGTTGGTTTGTTGCGCGTGTACATCTTGAAAATGGCGGGTGGCTTCGTCCCTGCAAGCCAAGACTCCAATGCCACAGGGGAAACGTCGCGGCTGGCCGTGAATTTCGAGGGCTTATCGTAGCTGGCGCGAAAGCATCATGTTCCGGGGGGAGTTCCGCATCGGCGATCCTACCGGCGACCATCTATGATGCTTCTATCGTATCCGATGCAAGTCCGACACCTGTCTGGACTTGAGATGTTAAGTTAACTTGTGGTTGTTAACCATCCCAGTGACCAAGTTCTGCAGAGTAAGTGAGGAGAAAGATAGATCCGTGAGGGCATGTCGAATCCCAGACCACGAAATCGATGGCAATCTGGCCCACAGTGCACGGAATGGCTAGCCAATCCTACTGCAGAACACTGACAGGGATGACTGATAGGACGCGTTGCTTGATCCATCTAATAAGCTGCCGATGTTTGGCGCCAGTCTGGTTCGAGGATGGATGGTGGCCGTCAAAAAGTTCCTCCAGAAGCAGTGTTCTGCGTCCCTCACCCCGCCCACCTGGCTGAAGCTCCGAACACAGATTAATCAACTTGCCACCTTGTGGCTGGTCGGATGATACGACTCCTCTTTGTCCACGTCTTTTGAATGGTCAATTCAGTTGCAAATTCCCCGTCCATCTGGTCGATAAGAGTTGGAGAGACGGGGCTGGGGTGAGGAGAGGGAACAGGGAACAGGGGTTGTCTCCGTGAAGGAGCAGGGCTGCATTTTGGAACGAGGGACAATGACACTATCCTCTGCCTTTCTGAAGCGTCAACCCTGATGTTGTTGTTGTTGAAAAGTCGTGAGGCTCTGATAGCTTCAACGCCTCTTTCTCGGGCTGCAGAGATGGTGTGCAGTTGTGCGGATGGGCGACAAGCTTTCGGGCAAGATCTCTTGAATTTTCTTGCCCTTCTTGATGGCAGGTCTTGGACGTCTTGGAGGCTCTTGGAAGGCCTTGGGGGATGTCGTGAAAGTCTTGGGCAGCGGGCTTGGGAAAAGCTTGGGGGTCTTGGGGGTTCTTGGGAGAGGCACGCCACATCCAGGGTCCTTCGATCATATCCTTCTTGAGCCAGCACCGCGAGCTGCCAAGCGCCTCGAGTCGTCTCTGCCGTCGACTAGCGCGTCAATGGGTGAAGGGATAGCCAGAAAGAGGACCGAGGGCTAATGAGTCGAGTGGCCGTTCCCTCTCAGTCTCTCTCACAACCAGCCATCCACACCATCCAGCCAGAGGATGAATTAACCGTTTTCCACCAACCTTCCGTGCTTCTTCGACGCCGTTTTGACGGTGCCTCCCGCACTCGCCTTGCTGCGGCAAACACCGCTGGAGTGTTGTAGTGTAACGTCGTGGCTTCCGACTAGCTCGTCTCTTCGTGCATTGGTGAGGTGCTTTTGCATTTGCATTGTCGTGCCCGCCAACTGAGCGAAGCGAAGCGGCACAGCAACGTAACCAGTGATAAGCTGTAAGGACTCGAAGCCTATTCGTAGATTCGTACGTAGAGATATGGATAGAGACGTGATCGATTGATCGATTCTCGCTGTCCCTCACAAAGCCAGGCTGAGGGCGATGGGATGCCTCTCCGCTGCGTCTCTCGCCGTGGGCTCGTTTTCCAACCAGCTCACAGACTTTCTTCATTCTTCCGGAGCGGCTCCCTCCCACATGCCAGTCCCACCAAGTATGCTTCTTGGCGGGAGCACAGTAAATGGGTAATACTTTGACACGCGACAGTGCACGGCCAATGCCGAGAGGAATCCCCGGATTGGAATACCTACCTCAGAGTCGGACAGTCAACTTGCCACCGGCATCCCCCCGCCACTGTCATATTGCTTGCTCAGAGCCTGAGATTGGATATCGAGAGGGCAGCATGGATCGAAAGTCTTTGTGCCAACACAGCCAACTCTATTCCTGAGAGACCTCGATCGACATTGCGAGTGAGACACGGCCTGCGCCTCTTTCTGAAGGCGGGTGTGTCGCACCACGATGAAGCCATCGCGATTATGACGGGGGGCGGATTCGCAAAAGACCCAACCACGCCAACGACCAAGACTTCATTGGCAGAACAGTAGACTGGATCTTTGCGAAGGCTGCAGCCGCATTCGCTGACGGTCAAAAAGTCCCCAAAAAGCCCCCCCCCCCCCCCCCCCCGCTATTGATATCTTGGACCTGCCATACTGGATCAAGCCACTCGAGGGGCCCAACTGCTTGGCATCGCCAGCGGAAGCGCACTTGACCTCCTAAATGGGAGTTTTCCTGCGTGTTGGCCGCCTTGCCTGGTCCACGGGAAAGTCCAGCACCAGTAAATGTTGGTGAGCATGTTCTCCGGAGAGGTAGTCAGTCGTGCCAGGTTCCCTCATCTCTGAAGGTCCATCCGCGCTGTGGGTTCCTGGGTGCCGAATGCAACTGGACCCCGGTGGGTGGCCGGGAGGAGGAGTGGGAGGGGGTGGGGTTTCCTTTCCGCCCATCGGACAAGGACTGGGAGACTGGAGTCTGGAGGACACCAAGGGAGAAGAAAGCAGAGAAAAGACGAACTGAGTGGGCATTTTAGCAAGACATCTCAGACGTTTGGTTCGTTCGAAGGAAGTTCCTGTATCCATACGTACCGGGATAAACGCTGTGGATTCTCTCTTACCGGTCTCTCTCATTCTCTCTCTTCCTTCATGTCATCGTCTCACAACCTCTCATCTCATCCTATTCTTTCATTGCAGCAGCCCCCCGGCAGATTGCGCCCAATGCGGATATAGTGCGAATGCAGACCGATCCCTCCTACCGCGTCCTAGAACCTTTGATATCGGTCTTGTCGCAATGCAGAAGGTAGACCTCCTTGTCACAAGGGTTACACTGGGGGCCCTCCGGACGCACAAGCAGAGAGGGAGGGTGACAGGCTGGAGTTCCAGCCCTGAACATGATCATCCCTGTCACCTCAACTCTGGTTCCAGAAAGGGGAAGCTCGACTGGCTCGACTGGCCAGTGCCATCTCGGCCTCCCATCTAGGCGCAAGGGGGATCTCTGCTGTATTCTCGGGATCGTCTCGTGGCGAAACTGGGACCACCGTCGCGTCCGTTCGTTGCCAGGCCGTTGGGAACCCTTGGCTCCACCGTCGATAAGCATCCGCCGGGTGTGACAAGGATGGCCGCCTCGTGGCTCTTGGATATTAAAAGGTCGAGATGTCCTCGGTTCCCTCTACCTGCCTTTCGTCTCTTTCTCGGTCACTGGCAACTTTCCAGCCCAAGCGTCCACGGGTCCACCGAACCAACACTTCTATACCTTACCAAGGTGAAGAACATTGACCCAGTGCAACAAAATGTCCGACATCCGTGAAGAACGGACCCCCGTCCACCAGGGCGGTGTGGTCTCGAACGAGAAGGTCTCGAGCGAGAAGCCTGCTCCTGTAAGTCGGTCTAGATGTCGATGGGCATCACACATCTCTCGATTGATGAACCACATACTGATGCTTTTCCTCAGATCGTCGAAGCCCATCCCGATGGTGCCGATTACAACGAGCACGTTGAGCACGACTTCAACGTCACCGAGGATGATTTGCTCGAGGCCAAGGAGCTCGCCTCGCAGATGTCCCTCGAGGAGGTCCGCGAGATGATGTTCAACGTCCACAAGATCCACGAGAAGGACCCCAACTTCCCCCTCGCCATTATCGAAAAGATTGAGGACTTCCTCCACAACGACGATGTCTTTGAGAACCCCGAGAAGCACGAGACTCTCATTCAGGAGATGAAGCTTGAGGCCGCCCTCATCACCGGTAACTCGCCCTACGCCGAGGTCCGCGCCGTCGTCGATAACCACGACGACCCTACCATGCCCAGTTCGACCCTCCGTGCCTGGGTCATCGGTCTCATCTTCTCTGCTCTGCTCGCCTTCGTCAACCAGCTCTTCTCGGTCCGCTACCCGTCCATCACCATTCTGGCCAACGTTGCTCAGTTGCTCGCCTACCCCCTGGGCAAGCTGTGGGAGAAGTCGCTTCCCGATGTTGGATTCACCGTTGCCGGCCACCGTTACTCGCTGAACCCCGGCCCATTCAACCGCAAGGAGCACATGCTCATCACCATCATGGCCAACGTCGCTTACAACATCCCCTACACCAACTACATCATCTGGACGCAGTGGCTGCCCAAGTTCTTCAACCAGAGCTATGCTTCCAACTTTGGCTACCAGCTCCTCATCTCCTTGTCGACCAACTTCATCGGATATGGTCTCGCGGGTCTCTGCAGAAGATTCCTCGTCTACCCCTCGTACTGTGTGTGGCCGGCATCCCTGGTGACCATTGCCCTAAATTCTGCTTTCCACACCGACAAGAACTCCACCGTCGATGGCCCCTTCAACAGCATCTGGCGCTGGAGCAGACAGAAGTTCTTCTACATCGCCTTTGCCGCCATGTTCGTCTGGTTCTGGTTCCCCAACTACCTGTTCACGGCTCTCTCCACCTTCAGCTGGATGACCTGGATCGCCCCCGAGAACCGCAACCTCGCGACAATCACTGGCTTCAACAGTGGTCTCGGTCTCAACCCGTTCCCTACTTTTGACTGGAACATCCTGTTGTACGACAACACCGACCCTCTCATGGTCCCCTTCTTCTCCACCTTCAACAAGTTCCTCGGCACCTTCTTCTCCATGTTCGTCGTGTTGGCTGTTTGGTACACCAACACCTACAACACTGGATACCTGCCCATCAACTCCAACAAGGTCTACGATCACTTTGGCGCCCTGTACAACGTCTCCCGCGCCGTCAACGAGCACGGTCTGTTCGACAAGGAGGCGTACGAGGCGTACTCTCCCCCCTTCTTGGGCGCTGCCAACGTCATGATCTACATGTTCTTCTTCGCCATCTACACCGCCACAATCACCTACGCCGCTCTCTACCACCGTCACGAGATTGCTCTTGGCTTCAAGGCTTTGATTGGCAGCTTCAGGAAGAACAGCGACACTGAGAAGGACCAGGTCCTTGATGTCCACAGCCGTCTGATGAAGGCGTACCCCGAGGTCCCCGAATGGCACTACCTCACCGTCCTCGTCATCGCCATTGCGTTGGGCTGTGCTGGTATCGCTGGCTGGCCCACGTACACCACCGTCGGTGTCGTCTTCTACGGTATCATCCTCTGCATGATCTTCGTCGTGCCGGTCGGCATCATCAAGGCCATGACGGGTATCGAGGTCACCCTGAACGTGCTCGCTGAGTTCATCGGTGGTTCCTGGGTTGAGGGTAACGCCCTGGCCATGAACTACTTCAAGTCCTTCGGCTACGTCACCTGCGCCCACGCCGTCTGGTTCTCCAACGACTTGAAGCTCGCCCACTACGTCAAGATTCCCCCTCGCCACACCTTCTGGGCTCAGATCGTCGCCACTTTCGTGTCCACCCTCGTCTGTCTCGCCGTCCTGAAGTTCCAGATGTTCAGCATCCCGGGTATCTGCACCGAGGACGCCAAGTTCAAGATGACCTGCCCCGGTATCAACACCTTCTTC